AGCTTCAAAGGGATTTAGCAGGCAAAAGTCCAGGGCTTATCTCCCTTTCTATGTCAGCGCTGAGAGACGCTGACACAAAGGAGAATGCAGAGGTCCCTGAAAACCCTTTTTCTTTGATTTTTTTTTAAAAAAGGGGTGGTTTTTATCCCAAGCCCTTGGGGGGAAAAAACCTGGAAAAGCCTGTAGCTGCTCAAACCTCGAGAAATATATATATATATATAAAAACCCCTGGATGGTACCTAAAGGAAGATAGCCAAGCATCTTCACCTCCTAACAAACCAGCTGGCGTTTTTCCCTCTCCCCCCCCGACGGCTAAATTTCCCTTATCGTCTCTACCCTGTGCTCCAGGACCTGAAACTTCCCATTTTACAAAAATATCTAGTCGTGTAGTTAAAATAAATCCATGCGTTCCCGTTTTCTTTTCGTTCCGTAAAGCATCCCGGTGTCACACAGCAAGGGTTGTGGGTTGTTTGTTTTTTTTTAAACTATACAAAGGTTTCAGATCAGGGGTCAGCAACCTGTGGCCTGCTGGCCAAATCCAGCCCGCAGGCGAAATATGGCTGGCTGGAGACAGATGGTCAGCCCCGAGCCTCAGCCAAGCTCCTGGAGGGGACAGGGGAAGAGGCTGGGGTCTCCTGGACAGGGGTGGCCAGCACCATCCCCGCGGCTGTCGTGTCCCAGACCTGCCAGCCATCCCTGCAAGAGGCAGAGGAGGAGGCAGGATTTGGGCTTTTGGGATTTAACAGTTGCCGACCCCTGCTCTAGAGGCGTTAACTCGTCTGCCAGCTCGCCCAGAGCAGGTTTGTGGGTGGATTTGAACCCGCGCCGTCTCCTGCAAACCGCAAAGCGTGCACCACCCTATTCGGAGGAGCCGGTGTAGGGCGACCGGCAAGGTTGTGCGTGTTTTTGTTTTTTTTTTGTTTTTGTTTGTTTTCTCAGAGGAAAAAGACCCAGCGGTAAAACACACAGACAAGAAGCATCAGGGTACAGTAAAAGGCAGCGAAAGCACAGAGTTGAGTAGAAAGTAGCACCAGATTAGGCTCTTCGGAGTCTGTGCCCAGAGAAAGGAGGGATTCGACAGTCCTCTGAATGCTGAGGTTTAGCTGGAGAATGTCGGAAGGGGAACAGAGACTGTCCTGTCCGGAAGGGGCAGCAGGAAAGGAAAACAGACAGAAACAAAAATTAGTAGAAGCTCGGGTCAGTAGGCATGCCGGATTCTCAGAAGCTGCCCAATCCCAATGGAAGCTCTTCGCCAGGTTGCAACGTTTCCGTTTTTAAACCACTATGATGTGCAGACGTAACAGGGAGTCCTTGGCTTACGACCACAACATTTCCACCGCTAAGCAAGGCGGCTGTTAAGCGAGTCCTGCCCCGTTTTGCAATCTGTCTTCCCGCCGTTAAGTGAACCACTAGCAGTGACAAGGTTCCGAAGAAGCTGCTTGGAGGAGAAGCGAAACGTCTTCAAGGAAAATCAAAGGAAGCCCAGCTGCCCTTTGAAAAAAAAAAGCCTCTCTTTGGGACAACGACCGTGACCTGAATGACGGAGAATCTCCCAAAGACATTTAGTAACACGGTTGTTAAGTGAATCGGGCTTCCCCCACTGACTTTTGCATGTCAGAAAGTCGCAAACGGGGATCACATCAGGGGTGAAATTTAAAATTTGTTACTACCAGTTCTGTGGGCGTGGCTTGGTGGGAGGGGGTAATGTGACTGGGTGGGCGTGGCCAATTTTTTTTATTTTACTTTTAAAATCATTTTTTTTCTACCACATCTTCAGTGAAGAGGTTGTTAAAAAATGCTTTCAAAAGGCTCTGACGATCCCAGCTGAGTTGCCTGATCGGCAGAGGCTTTTTTTCTTTTAAAAGCCTTTGATGATCCCAGCTGAGCCGTGCGATCATCAGGGGCTTTTTTTTTACTTTTAAAAGCATTTTTCGGCCAAAGAGGTTGTAGAAAAAATGCTTTTAAAAGTAAAAAAAAAAAGCCTCTGATGATTGTGCGGCTCAGCTGGGCATGGGGGGGTGGGGCAGGGATTTTTGCTACCGGTTCTCCGAACCACCCGCCTCCATCGCTACCGGATTGGACGATCCGGTTGGAACCGGGAGCATTTCACCCCTGGATCACATGAACCCCAAAACCCCATCAGTCGATTGCTTTAAAAGGCGGCTTTCCATCACGTTTTGAAACAGCCTATCTCCGTCCCAAGACTCTGGACCACGTACAAATCAGTCTTCCAAAGCACGTTGTACTGTGCAGGTAGTCCTCGACTTACACCCGCTTTGTTTAGTGACCGTTCAATGTGTTTTTCACATTTACAACCACATTGTAAAACCCCCGTGGTCACGCGATCAAAATTCAGGCGCTTGATATTTACGACACTTGCCTGAAATCATGTGATTCCCCCCTTTTGGGATCTTGGGGGAAGCCAGATTCATTTAACAACCGTGCCACTAAGTTAACAATTGCGGCGATTCGCTTAGCAACTGGGGCAAGAGAGGTCTAAAATTGTAGGAGGTGACCAGGCTGAGTCCGAGGGAGGGGAGGGCCGAATGCGTCATCTGTCACGAGCCGCATCGCACCCACAAGAGAGGTCAGTCCAGCCCTCCTTGAATTCCTTCGATTCTTATTTACCACCAATTTCTGTGGGCTGTTAGTAGTTCAGATTCTTGTCGAGAGTTTGAGCTTGCAATAAATATGCTCATTTGAGCTGCTGTTGTGACCTCTCGGCCGCTGGCTCCTCCAGCAGCCGAATCAGAGGAGGAGGAGGAGGAGGAGGAGGAGGTGTGGGAGTCAGGACCAGCATCAAGGCAACCTGGGAGCTCCGAGGGGGAAGAGGGAATGGAGCCGTCAGAGAGAGAGAGACAGAGGCAGAGCCTGGGCCGTCCATCAGCCCTCAGATGGAGAGTCAACAGCCCCCAGGTCTGGAGGTGGCTGATGAGGAAGAGGAGGAACAGCTGGGCCCAGTGCCTGACGGGTGGATGCACAGCAGGCAGAGGAGAGGAGAGCAGTGGAAATCTATGGGCCGGTCCTTGGGACGGAAGAGCCACCTCTGCTAGTGAAGCCCCACTCCTAGCTCTGGGGATAAAAGGCAAGGGGGGTGGAGATGAATAGATGTGACAGACAACTATTCATCTTCCGGACAGACGGACTTGTTAGCCTGCGGTGAGAGAGAAATTTTTGCCGGGGCTGCCGGCGCTCCTAATAAAGGGAACAATTAGGTAATTTAAGAGGGTTTGTTGTGCTTTGAAGCTGGGTCAGAACAGCTACCTGGATCTCCTGATTTCTTTGGCGTTTCACAAAAATGGGGCAAAACTCACTTAACAACGGTCCTGCTTAGCGATGGAAATTGTGGTCGTAACTCAAGGACTACCTGTCTCTTGCTCAAAGCAGTTAGAAGCAAGATTTCAGCTCCAAAACGTTTAACAGGACTTGATCTCAGGTCCTTCCAGAATTGTGGCGATGCCGAAGGACATAGCCAATTGCAACAGGTTTACACCTGTGGTGTTCGCCCTCAACCCGATTGCAACGGGGAGAAATCCTACTTGGGCAGCTTGAGGCAGGGTCTTCTGAATTGCTCCCAGGGGTTGTCCCCTCCTCCCTTTGTCCAACCACTGACCCTCCTATAAAGCTGAGAAACCCAGGAGGAGTTCAGAAGACCACAAATCAGAGGTGGTTAGTTTTCCGTGCATTGGAAATTTTGACTTGGGCCCATCCTTCCATTCACAAGGACCGTAAGGTGTGAAACGAAGACGTTCGTCGGATTAAAAACAGGATGATCAGGCTGGCGAGATGCAACCGTATCTGATTTTACTCGGTATTTTTCCGTTCCATCCAGGAGACAGCACTGACTTGAGATCTGAAACATAAGTCTGCCCTTCCTTCCTTTGTTGCTCGTCGGGTGTGTTGGATTACAACTCCCATCACCTCTCGCCAGCATGGCCGAATGCTCTCTTGGCTTAGGACAATGGGAACAGTAGTCCAAGATATCCTCCCAAGTAGTTTAGCTGTAGCTGAAGAGGCCAGGAGCCTGTTCTGTTTTGCTTTGTTTCCTTCTTTTTGTACCTGTCTTTTGATGCGTGGGTGTACCATTTTGGGGTGTATTCCATTCTGAATTAGTGCCAAGAACCCATGGGCTTCAAAATTTTTACCAAGGGGTTCTCTACCCAGTTGCTGGGTGGGTGTGGCCATGGTGGGCGTGGCCATGGTAGGCATGGCCTAATTGGCCTCCTGCACCCTGGCCGAACTTCCGGTAGGCCTGTTTTTCGTCCTCCCCGAGCCTCCACGCATACCCTGCACTTACCTGCATCCAAAACAAGCCAGGTGGGGACTCCTGGGCAGGGCCAGCCAGGAGTGGGATTTGGGGGTTCTCCGAACTGCACAGAATTTTAGCTAGAGGTTCTCACGAACCCCCAGGAGCCCATCCCTGGTTCTTGGGAGGTGAGATTAAACATCCCAAAGAGGTTTCAAAGACAGCAACCCCCTCCCTTCTTGCACTGATGACGTTACCTAGTTGGGTCCTGAAATGTCTGCAAGAAAACCACCAAGGACCTCACAATCCTCCTCCTCCTCTCTGCAAACCCCACTTCTCTCTAGCACTGATGATGTTACCTAGTTGGGTCATGAAATGTCTGTGTGAAAATAACGAAGCTCAGAGAGCACCAAGGAGCCCACAGTCCTCCTCCTGCTCTGCTCCTCCTCCCCACCACCTTCTAGCACTGATGATGTTACTTAGTTGGGTCATGAAACATCTGCAAGTAAACAACCCACTTCAGAAAGCATCAAGGACCTCACAACCCTCAACCTCCTTCTCTTCCTCCCCCACTCTGCAAAAACCACCCTCACATTATTAGTCCTGATAACGTTACCTAGTTGGGTAATGTTAATGTCCGCAAGAAAGCAACCAAGCTCAGAGAGCACCAGGGACCCCACGGTTATCTAAAAAGTTGGTCCTATGAAATAAGTCCGCACAATATGAAGAAAAATTGGAAGGCTTCCTCTCGTACCTGAGGCACCCCTATTTTTCGACAGGCTTCCAGGAAATTTTCCACATTCCGTCGACACTTGGCCATGGTTAACTTAGGCTGCAGAAGGGAGAAAGAAGAACATGGTGTTCACCAGGAGCAGCTGTTGTTAAGTCTCTGGTAGCGATGGCGGACCTACAACACGTGTGTCAAAGATGACAAGCCATACGGTGTTGGGGGTGACGCCGGGACTGTCCAGCATTGACCTCCATTGAGGCAAGAATGGGAGAGGCTGTTTTGCAACCTCCAAAAATGAAATAGAATAGAATAGAATAGAATAGAATAGAATAGAATAGAATAGAATAGAATAGAATAGAATAGAATGGAATGGAATGGAATGGAATGGAATGGAATGGAATGGAATGGAATGGAATGGAATAGAATAGAATAACAGAGTTGGAAAGGACCTTGGAGGTCTTCTAGTCCAACCCCCTGCCCAGGCAGGAAACCCTACAACACTTCAGACAAAGGGTTATCCAACACCTTCTTAAAAATTTCCAGTGTTGGAAATTGGTAGCCTGCTGCTACTGATAACCTCCCACCGGCCAGTACGCTCGCACAGAGAGGGCCTCCTCAGGGTGCCGTCGGCCAAGCAATGTCGGCTGGTGGCCCCCAGGGGGAGAGCCTTCTCTGTGGGGGCACCCAACCTGTGGAATGAGCTGCCTCCTGGAATACGACTGATCCCAGACCTCCGCACTTTCCGCAAGGCCCTGAAGACTTATTTATTCCAACAAGCCAGCCTAGCTTAAATGGTTTTAATGGGGATTTTTAATCTTTTAATTTTATTGGTTTTTGGGTTTTAAATTGGGAATTTTTTGATTTTGTAGATTTGGGATTTTAAATTGGAAATGCCGATGATTTAATTTATTTTAGTTTTTTCTTAACTTTTCTACTATATGTGTTTTAATTTCTGGCTGTCCACCGCCCTGAGTCCCCCTGGGGAGAAGGGCGGTATATAAGTTGAAATAATAATAATAATAATAATAATAATAATAATAATAATAATAATAATAATAATAATAATAAAATTAAATATTAAATAATTAAATATTATATAATTATAATTATAATTATATAATTAAATATTAAATAATTAAATATTATATAATTATAATTATAATTATTACTATTACTATTACTATTATTATTATTATTATTTACAACTTCTGGAGGCAAGTTGTTCCACTGATTAATTGTTCTCACTGTCAGGAAGTTTCTCCTTAGTTCTAAATTGCTTCTCTCCTTGATGAGTTTCCACCCATTGCTTCTTGTCCTGCCTTCAGGGGCTTTGGAGAATAGCTTGACTCCTTCTTCTTTGGGGCAGCCCCTGAGATATTAGAACACTGCTATCATGTCTCCCCTAGTCCTTCTCTTCATTAAACTAGCCATGGGCAGTTCCTGCAACTAGACATACCCAGTTCCTGCAATTTCTTTTATTTGCATTTCATAGTTATTTGATGTTGCTTTATACATGTTCATTTATTACATTTATAGAGCCCAATCATGAATATATGGAGCTGAGTAAAATTCCAAGGAAAGAGAAAGAGGAATAAAAGCCAATTTTCCCAAACAGACCCAACACGACTACCCCGGATACTTACGACAGCTGGCGAGGGCACGTGAATACTAGGGACAGAACGAGGCCGCACGTGATTGGCTAAATGGCAAAGCACCACGCCGTCTGTTAAGGCTGCGCTGAGATCGCTCGGCAAAGACACTTTTAACCGGGATTCAATGTTCTGGAAAATACGAGGGCAGAATGATTGCTAAAACAAAAGTAGGTTAAGTACAGATAGTTACAAGTTCATTTAGTGACCGTTCAAAGTTACAACAGCACTGAAAAAAAGTGACTTATGGCCATTTTTCACACTTAACGACGTTTGTTAGCATCCCCATGATCATGGGATCAAAATTCAGACGCTTGGCCACTGGTTCATATATATGACGGTTTGCTGTGTCCCAAGATCATGGAATTTACCTTTGGCTATCTTTTGCAAGCGAAGTCAATGAGGAAGCCAGATTCACTTACCGACTTTATCAAGTGCAGTGATTCACTTAACAACTGTGACAAGAAAGGTCATAAAATGGAAAAAAATCCACTTAACGAATGTCACACTTAACCACAGGAATTTGGGGCTCAATTGTGGTTGTAAGTGGAGGACTACCTGTACTTTACAGATAGTCCTCGACTTACAACAATTCATTTAGTGGCTGTTCTTTTATGTCCCAGTTGGGTTCGGATATCAGAGTCAGCCATAAAAACCAAGCCCACCAAATCTTCTGTTCCAACGAAATAATCGTCTCTTCAATTACATACTTTTCGCAGTTGCTCTATCACCAAAACGTCTTCTTCCGGCAAGGTGGAATTATGGTTATCGCTGATGTCATCTGTGCAATTAACCAGGGCTGGTGAAGAAGCAGACGTGACGGCTGAAAAAGGCAAAATTATCACCATGAACACTCAACATCGCTGCCATCACCTTCCTCATAATAGGGCAGGTAGATTACTGACACACTGCAGTGTCAGGTCCATTGAAGGAGCTTCAAAAATCTTCGCTACTGAACTAAATCAGTGTTTTGCAACCTTAGCAAACTTAAAATATGTGGCCTTCGACCCTCCAAATTCCCCAGCCAGCATGGGAATATTTACAACTCAGGGGATATTTACAACTCAGCCTAGGCAACTCAGTCCTCTTAACTGTTTTGTGTTAATTTAATCTGCCCTTTTCTTAATCGTCCGATCCATAATCAATTCATTTTTTTTTTAAAAAAAGGTTTTTTATTGTTTGACCAAACGGTTCAAAGTTTTTCCATTTCTGCAAATTCCAACATTTTCACAGTCCGTTTTTCCAATGTGGGAACATCATTATTTTTGTGTCATTGTGTTACACAATACCCATCCATCATAAATCCTTTTTAATTCATACAGAATACAGACAAAAGTTGGGAGGGACCTTGTAGGTAATCTAATCCAACCCTCCTGCTTTAGCAGGAGACTCTATACCACTCATCATTTGTGAGTTCCAATTTGTAAAAGTTCTGGGTTTTTTTTAAGCAATATTAATCTTTAAAATTAATGAAAGATGAAAGCCAGGAGAATGACTTTGGGCCTATTCCCTCTCTCTCTTATAGCCCAGCCCACCTCACAGGACTGTTGTGGAGAAAATAGGAGCAGAAAGGAGTATTACTTGACTGGTGTATCATTTTTTTTTAATTTAATTTTTTTATTTTATTCTAATACAAACAATTCATCTTCCATTGTGTCGTCTGGGTACAAATGTCTTGTGCAATAACAATTAAAATTTACAGCCATATTCATTATTTGTCTACTCTTAACTTAATACTGATATACATAACGTATCTAATACTGTAGCAATCTCAACTTATTTAATTCTACTGATATATTTTCCATACTTCACTGATCTACTTTTATTTCTAACTTTCATATTTATACTCTAACCGTCGGTAAAATAGCTCCCACATCATATAATATTCAGTTTGTTCCTTCTATTTAATTGGCAGTATTAACCTATTCATTTCTGCACATTCTAATATTTTCCTAATCACATTTTCATCCGTAGGAATCTCTTCACTTTTCCAGTTTTGTGCAAATACAATTCTAGCTGCAGTTAAGTTTTAGTTTAGTTTAGTTTTATTTGATTTGTATACCGCCCTACTCCCGAAGGACTCAGGGCGGTGAACAGCCACAGGATAAAAAATATAAATACAAAATTTAAAACTGAATAAAATCGAATTAAACAATTTGGCTGAAGACAGATTTAAAACACCCCAATAAATTAAAAACGAATTAAAATTTACGTTTTAAAAAGGGAAAAAAGGGAAACAGTTAGGCCAGGCCAGTCTGATGGAATAAAAAGGTCTTGAGGGCACGGCGGAAGGTGCGTAGATCCGGAATCCTCCGTATCTCCGGGGGAAGCTCATTCCAGATAGTAGATGCCCCCACAGAGAAGGCTCTCCCCCTGGGGGCCGCCAGTCGACATTGTTTGGCCGACGGCACCCGGAGGAGCCCCTCTCTATGAGAGCGTACCGGCCGGTGGGAGGCTACTGGTGGCAGCAGGCAGTCCCGTAAGTAACCAGGTGCTAAACCATGGAGCACTCTAAAGGTGGTAACCAAGACCTTGAAGCGCACACGGAAGACCACCAGGAGCCAGTGCAGCTCACGCAGGAGAGGTGTCACATGGGAGCGCCATGTTGCTCCCATAACCACCCGCGCGGCTGCACTCTGCACCAGTTGGAGCCTCCGGGTGCTCCTCAAGGGGAGCCCCATGTAGAGAGCGTTGCAGTAGTCCAGGCGGGAAGTGACTATTATTAATACATGAATAATCAGATATATATTTTCTTTACCAGAGACTTATAGTAGTGTCTGGTAAAATCCCCAACAAGAATATTTCGGGTTTCAAATCAATGTGCTGTTTGGCAGCATGTTGGTTTATAAAAATATTAAAGATGGGGTATAAATAAATAGCTTTGCACCCCACATGACTTAGCTTGCATAAATTTCCTTTCAACCAGCAGCTGAAATCCACTCCTTTTCATTCAGGCAAGATTGCTCTTATCTGACTGTTTGCAGCTAATTTTAAGTGTCCGGCTTTAGAATTAAACATCGGGACACAGCCTGGATCCCATGGCTGAACCGAGAGGCTGTTCAACTTACCTTTGTTTGCTTCTTCTCTGGTGGCGTTTCGGAAAAGGAAGCTTTCGGGGCGCTGGGGAGTTGCTCTGTAGGAGGGGGTGGCGGCTGGGCCAGGATATGGGACAGACAGGTGAACTAAATGGGGACATGGAAGGATGCGGCGGGGTTGGGGGGCGGACGGAGGAAGGGGAGAAGAAAAGCAAAATCCTTATTATGACAACTTAAATAAATAGAAGCTAACCATAGGTAGTTCTTGAGTTACAACCATTTTTTTTATCAACCATTATATGTTATAATGGCCCTGACTTACTTACAGCTGGTCCTCGCATTTATGACCGTTGCAGCAACTCCAGTGGTCACATGATCAAAATTTGGACGCTTGGTAACCAGTGTGTTGCGGTATCCCAGGGTCATGCGATCGCCGTTTGCAAACTTCCCAGGGCACATGAAAGCCAGTTAGAGCCTTTGGGCCAACCAGATCCAAAGGTGCTGACCAGGAGACAGTGAGTTCTAGTCCCGCTTTAGGAATGAAAGCTAGCTGGGTGTCTTTGGGCCAACTGCCAGGAACCTGTGAGTTCTAGTTCCACAATGAAAGCCAGCTGGGTGACTTTGGGCCAGTCCCTCTCTCAGCCTAGCCCACCAGCCAGGGTTGTTGTTGTTGTTGTTGAGTTATTTATAGAAATGTTACTTATAAAAATAAAATAAAATATAAAATAAAATAACTAAAATAAAATACAAATAATAAAATAAAAAATAACTAAAGTAAAATAAAAAATATATATAAATACCGTATTTTTCGGAGTATAAGACACACTTTTTTCTCTCCTAAAAGAGGCTGAAAATTTGGGTGTGTCTTATACTCCGAATGTAACCCCGCGCGGTGCCCAAAATGGCTACCCGGAACAGCTGATGCCTTCTTTTACCCCTTCCGCGCTTTGCCTGCTTTAGTCACTGGAGCTCCCTCCGAGGATCAGCCGTGCTTTAGAAGCTGTTTTTTAGCCCCAATTAGCCCCAACCTCAAAACCTAGTGAGCGAACTAATGTGCTGAAGCTGCCCAGGCTAAGGACTAGACAGATGAATACCTGGTAGTGGTAACTGCCCCAGCTACGGACCCCAAAGAACGCAGCACACCCAAAGTCTGTAAAATTTAGTTTACTAAATTAAATCAGTCTTTTTCAAACAAAGGCTGTTAATTAACTTTCTTAACAGACTACAAGAATCCAAAGAATAAATAATCGTAATCTTACTAGGGTTGGCAGAAAGCCCAGAAGCAATTTGCAGGAAACTGATAACTAAGATCAAGACACGAAGGAGAGTGAGCAAAGTTGTTCCCTGCAAATTGCTTCAGTCGGCGTTCCTCCTTAAATAGGCTAAGGGAGTGGCCAATTAGCCCCAAGCCTTATTCTCGAGGAGACCTCCTCCTGAGGAGCCACTCCTGCCTTTTGGCAGCTCTGCGCGCCCATGCATCGAGGAGAGGCTCCTCCTCTTCTTCCTCTTCACCCATCGAAGCTTCTGGAGGTTCTGAAGGCCCTGGCTGAATCCCCGCTTCTGGCACCACATCTTCTCCAGCCTCCTCATTGTCTGACTCGAGTGCCAGCTGCACAGGCTGCTAGCGCAGCACCACACCAGCCTCCTCGCTGTCGGAATCAGCTACCAGCTGCACAGGCCGCTGACGGGCCACAACAGGTAGGCAGAATTTTTTCTCTCCTATTTTCCTCCCCAAAAACTAAGGTGCGTCTTATACTCCAGTGCTTCTTATACTCCGAAAAATACTGTAAATAAAATAAATGAAATATGGAGCCAAGAGGCACTTGGGAGGGCAGAGATATGTCCTCACTGCTATTTCAAACAACCATCCCTGAAGGCCGTGGGAGATAAGCAGCCAAGAAACAAGTGTCCACACTCAGAATAGTGGTACACCCTCCCCGCCCTTTACACACTGGGTTGTCCCTTATTAACTCACAAGGCTGATGTGAAAATATATTCTCCCTCCTCCCCCCCCTGGCTTAGTGATGGACAATTTCATTATCGGTAGTCCTTGACTTACAACAGTTCGTTCTATGACTGATGGAAGTTACAACAGCACTGAAAAAAGGGACGGGGACCCTTTTTCATACTTACGACCGTTGCAGCATTTCCCAGGGTCACATGATCAAAATTCAGACCGACTCATATTGATGACGGTTGCCCTGTCGTGCGATTCCCCTTTTGACAAGCCAAGTCGATAGGGGAAGGCAGATTCACTTAAGGACCATGACTAATTTAACAACGGCAGCGATTCGGTCACCGACGGCGAAAAGGAAGGTCGTAAAATGGGGCTGAAACTCACTTAACTGTCTGCGCTTAGCAACAGAAATTTTGGGCTCAATTGTGGTCGTAAGTCGAGAACTACCCATGTGATCATCTGGACAAGATCCCAAATCCTGACAAAGACCCTCCTCTGGCCTCCTTAGGAATCTGCGGTGGGTCACTTCCTTGTTTACCTGTTTGAGAAGTGGGTGAATTCGGTGAGATGGTGGATCGGTCGTCACTCTGTGGATCAAGAGAAAGAGAGGAGTGAAACTCTCGGACATTCAGCAAAGCTCAAATGAAGGTCGGAGCACACCCAGAATATGATTTTGAGGACCGCAGATTCTCTGAAGAGAATAAGGACATTCTGCCAACTCTTTCACCAGTTTAATAATGGAGAGCAATATCCCATTCTCTTTTGAGATCGAATGTCGAGGAACAAAAAGCCACAACAGAAAAGAGCATCTGCTAAGCCAGCCAGAGAAAAGCGGGTCCTAATTACTGCGAGAATTTTCTTTTTTTTAAAAAAAGCAATGTTGATTATATACAAAACCTTCACCAAAGCCAAAGCAAAAACGTTGAGACAGTCCGGGTTGCAAAATTAATTCCACAATTTTCTCTTGGAGGTCTACAAAACCATTACTGGATGCCAGCTGACCTCCCTCCCAGGCTCCACCGACAGAGGGATGCAATTTTAAAACTAATTAAGAGTTAAATAGCAAATGTGTGTACCAACCTTCCTCAACCTGATCATCTCCCCATGTGCAGGACTGCAACTCCCATGACTCCCAGCCAATGTTGATTTGGCTGGGGCTGATGAGAGCTGTAATCCAAGGTACGAAGATGGAGAAGGACGGTATAAGTCTACCACGATGGATTTCTTTATCACAAAATATCTATCCCCCGTTTTAAACTTGGGCCCAGTTTTGAGAAAAGCAAAGCCTACCTTATCCATTCTGCTAACGCAAAGGTGGGGAATGATGGTCCCTTTATGACTTGCGGACTTCAATCCCCAGAATTCCTGAGCCAGCCATAGTGGCTGGCTCAGGAATTCTGGGAATTGAAGTCCGCAAGTCATAAAGGGACCATCATTCCTGACCTCTGTGCTAACCAAGCGTCCCCTTCTAATCAGAAACATAAAATCATTAAGGAAGAACCGGTAAATAAACACTGTCAACTTTCAAGAGTTCGTTTAGGGACTGTCCAAAGTTACAACGGCACTGAAAAAAGTGACTTGGGACTATTTTTCACCCAGTCGTTGAGATGCTTAACAACTAACTCACATTTATGATGGTTAGTGTCCCGGGGTCACGTGATCCCCTTTTGCGACCTCTTTTTTGTGACAAGCAAAGCCAATGGGGAAGCCAGACTCACTTAGCAACCGTGTGACTCACTTAATAACTGCAGCGATTCCCTTAACAATTATAGCGAGAAAAGTCGTAAAATGGGGCAAAACTCCCTTAACAAATGTCTCTCTTAGCAATGTACGTTTGGGGCTCAACTGTGGCCGTACGTTGAGGACTACCTGTATTCTTTGCAACGAGATCTGGAGTGACACTGCCAGGGTGGCGCTGCACCAATTTTACTCTGGCAGTCTTTCCATGCCACCAGTAGCAACAGTGGGGCAGAGCCAGAAAACCAGTGCGACATCCAAATCCATCTTCAGTCCTTTCTCCTGCCCCACTCTTGGGTGTGTACAAAACCTCACACGCCCAACTCTTTAATCCCCAACAGGTTTACGGCAATGCAGTTTTGCACGACTGGGGAAGGACAGAGTTAATTGCAGCTAAAAGCACACAGTGCTTCCAAAACAATAATTTTAGCCACCGCCACGACTCTAGGACAACAGGCAACCAGAACCTCAAGTGTGGAGGGAGGCGGCTAAAACCCGCAATTTTATTTCGCTGCATGCAAAGGCCAGAATGTCGAGCTGGCTGCAAGGACTGGGAAGGTTTTGTATTGCTGGCTTGTCGGATCTGGTTTCAGGCAATTTCCTTACCCCAGAGCTAAAATCTTTGTTCAAAGCCGGGGAAACTTCTTGGCTGGCCAGGCACTGTGATGTAAGAAGGGAAGTGGAAAACAAAGGAGGGCCAGACAATGATCCATTATGCTGGGAGAACACTGCCCCCCCCCGCCCCATCCCCAGCACGAAAGTGCCAAGAGACGGAAAGCAATCCAAAAAAAGCCCTGAAAAAAACTGGTGCCCAAGTCCCATCAGTAGCAAAACAGTTTGCAAAACAAAAATTAAACGTTTGGTGGGGTGGTTAAGGTGCTGGCTTAGCAACTAGGAGACGGTGACTTCTAGTCTTGCCTTAGGCATGAAAGCTGTCAGAGGAGAGGGGAATTTGGGCCAATCGCTAGGAGACAGAAAGTTCTAGTTCCACATTAGGCAGGAAATTCAACTGGATATTATTAGGTCAATCATCAAGAGACGGTGAGTTCTAGTCCCGCTTTAGGCATGAAAGGCAGCAGGGTGACTTTGGGCCAATCACCAGGAGACAAGAGAGTTCTAGTCCCGCTTTAGGCATGAAAGCTGGCTGGGTGACTTTGGGACAATCACACTCTCTCTCTCTCAGCCCAGCCCAGCCCACCTAACAGGTGGGTTCTTCATCCTCGTTTCTAGCCTGGTGCATTAACCACTAGACTAAACTGGCTCAAGATCAGGTTACGTAAGCAGCCTTGTCCCCCGACAAACATCTGCCTGACCCATGTGCTCCCACAGGGAGGACATGCTCTGGGTTTCTTAAGCCTCTTATGGGCCCTAGGAAGGGTGTGTCAGCACTCCAAACTACATTCGTTCCAGTGCTGACATAAGGAGGAGAAGAGGGGGCAGCTGGCAAGAGGACGCTTGACTTTTCACCTACTTATTTTCCCTGAAGATAATATCCCCTAGGAGATGGGATGGGAGGGGGGGACATTCCTGGGAGCTGAAGTAATAGATATGGGGAGAGTGATTTGGAAGATGGCCAATGAGACGCAGAGAATTGGGGAACGGAAAGGGAAGGTTTGGGATCAGGAAGTCACTGTTGGCTATGATGTAGTCAGGAGCAGATTGTCGTGCTTAATAAATGAAAGATTTCATCAAAGACTATTTGTTTGGAAATGCAATTTGTTTGAGACGACACCGAAACCTGACAGGGTGCTTTTTCTATGGTTCACCCCCTCCAGAGCAATCCTTCCCCTCCCCCCCAAATTTATGATGAGTCCCAACTCTGCTCGCCTTGAGGAAAGACCCCAGGACCTGGCATTAAGACTTGGTCTGGTGGATTCGTTTTGTTCTGTGGTTATTATTTTTTATTTTTTATTATTTATTGAATTTATATCCCGCCCTTCTCCCCGAAGGGACTCATTTTAAATGTCAGTTTTTGTAGTTATATATACAGAGCGAGTTGGATGTAGTGGTTAGGAAGTGGTGAAATCCAGATTTTTTTACTACAGGTTCTGTGGGCGTGGCTTGGTGGGCGTGGTGTGGTGTGGCTTGGTGGGCGTGGCAGGGGAAGGATACTGCAAAAACCCCATTCCCACCCCACTCTGGGGCCAGCCACAGGTGGTATTTGCCGGTTCTCCGAACTACTCAAAATTTCCGCTACCGGTTCTCCAGAACCTGTCAGAACCTGCTGGATTTCACCCCTGTTGTTAGGGCATCAGAAACTGGGAGACGGTGAGTTCTAGTCCCGTCTTAGACACAAAGCCATCTGGATGACCTTGGGCCAGTCCCTCTCTCTCAGCCCTAGGAAAGAGGCAATGGCAAACCACTCTCAAAACTTTGCCAAGAGAACTGCAAGGATAGGTCCAGGCAGAGACTGACTTCAAAGGCACATAAACACACAGACACTCACTTATGTATTATAGCAAGTGAGCCGGAGTTAATGTTATTTGGACGATTTCTTTCTTTCATGAGACGTGGTGCCGCAGTGGTTAAGAGTGCAGTATTGCAGGCTACTTCTGCTGACTGTCGGCTGCCTGCAATTTGGCAGTTCAAATCTCACCAGGCTCCAGTTGACTCAGCCACCCATCCTTCTGAAGTGGGTAAAATGAGGACCCAGATTGTTGGAGGCAGGAGGCTGACTCTAAACCGCTTAGAGAGGGCTGTGAAGCGGTATATGTCTAAGTGCTATTGCTTTCCAGGATCAGGCTGAGATGTCTGATGATATGAAGCATTAAGTGAAGAGGAGAGAAAAACACAACACAACACAACACTGAACGCATGCAAGCTGTAAACATGCAGAAGCAAGCGGATTTCTAGGGCAAAGCAGCTGGGTTTCAGCAGCTATTTTTAAGCTCCCAAAGGATCTTTAAAGGAGGAAGGAAATAGCATAAAACATGGAAATAGGGTTATATGAACAGTGGACAGCCTTAAAAATGGGATCCGGATTAGAGCGATGACATCACTGATTTAAACAAAGTGTTTAGTCTTCATTAGACAGATCTGATCACCCAAATTGGTGACAGACATTAATGATTGAAATGACTTTTACAAACACACACACAAAACTTACAATGGAAAACTTTTTCGTGTCTTTGGAAGGTCATTTGGATAAATATAGAGAGTGGTGTCTCTCAACTTTGGCCACTTTAAGATACATGGACTTCAACTCCCAGAATTCCACTTTAAGATATGTGGACTTCAGCTCCCAGAATTCCACTTTAAGATACGTGGACTTCAACTCCCAGACTAACTCCCAGAATTCCACTTTAAGATACATGGACTTCAAAAAAAAAACAAACAAAAAAAAACAACAACTTTTTAAATAAATAAATAAATAAATAAAAGATACATGGACTTCAACTCCCAGAATTCCACTTTAGATACGTGGACTTCAACTCCCAGAATTCTGGAAGTTGATGTCCCCACATCTTAAAGGGCCCAAGGTTGAGAAACACTAATAGGAGAGTATCACATTCAAGGATAAAGCCAATCCAAATCTACCTTGCCATATCGAAATAACTGAAAGTTTTTCAGTAATAAATGTGCATTCATTCACATTTTAGTTCTGTTTTTCCACAGACCGGGTGGTGTGGTGATGTGGTGTTAGGCTATAACTCCCACGCTCATGTGGCCGTATTTTGGTCATCTGGCAATGGGCTCACATTTGCAACCGGCGCCCCGCAGTCACGTGATCCAATTTTGCAGCAAAAACTGCCCATGGGAGAAGCTGGATTCGGACTTACAACCATAAGGACAGTGGTTGCTCGCTTAATGACCAACTTAAAAAACAGTCGTAAAATCAAAACTGGTCAGGCGGTGACGCGACCTACAACCTCAACGTCTTAACATTCCTGGGTTCAGCTGCGGTCATAAGTCGAGGACTACCTGCATTGACCAAAAAATCGTATCTCAGCTTTTGTAGACGCCAAATCGCAATGAAAAAGCTCGGGGGTGTGAGGGGGGAAGGAACGGTGAATGTTGGCTACAGCCAACTTTGTAATCATGGTTTACCAGAATGATGTGATTAGGAAAAGGAGGGGCAGCCATGTTTTATGCTATTTGGAGGTTGCGCTGATGAATGGCCTCGTCTGGCATGCTAATTCTGGTCTCGGATGCTCACACACACACACACACACACAAAAGCAGGCTACAGCGTGCAGGATTCTTACCACCAGCAAGGCACTATCGTCAGTGTGCTGAGACCTTCTGGACGGAAAGGGGCACTGGGTACGCGGGAGAAATGTCCGTGTCAGTGACAGAGAAGACAAAACAACACCGTATGCAGACAAGCAGAGACATCTGGAATTAACAAGGCTTTTTACAGGGAAGACGGCACGTAAGCGCTTGCCAGGGGAGCATGGATGAAATCCTGACTTGGGGGATGGGGAGGGACCCCATTAGCTCTTGAATAAAGTCTCAGCCTTTGGGCCCATCTGCAATTGATTCCGGAGCTGCGGCTGCCCCCCAAAATGTAGCACAATTCCTCACGGTTAGGAAGTTTCTCCTTAATTCCAGGTTGCTTCTCTCCTTGATAGGTTTCCACTCATTGCTTCTTGTCCTGCCCTCAGGTGCTTCGGAGAATAGCTTGACTCCCTCGTCTTTGGGGCAGCCCCCCAAATACTGAAAGACTGCTATCCTGTCTCCCCTAGTCCTTCTCTTCATTAAACTAGATATATTCAATTTCTGCAACCGTTCTTCATATGTTTTAGCCTCCAGCCCCTTAATCATCTTAGTTGGTCTTCTCTGCACTTTTTTCCCCCCAAATCCTCAACATAATATTTAGGGAGGCACACAAAGACACAGAGACAGTTTGGGAGGCCCTGAAACAACCATGAAAGAAAAAAAACAAGATGACTGAAATCAGACTGGAAAGCTATAGAGCAGTGTTTCTCAACCTTGGAAGCTTGAAGATGGGTGGACTTCAACTCCCAGAATCCCCCAGCCAGCAGCGCTGGCTGGGGGATTCTGGGAGTTGAAGTCCACCCATCTTCAAGCTACCAAAGTTGAGAAACACTGCTTTAGAGGGTGAAGGATTTGATCTGCTGCCCCACGTTATCCAAATTATTTTCCATTAGTAAAATAAAAAGTTTAACACTGTCCAACTGATGTAGAAAAAGGTATGGCAAGGAAAAAGCAAATGTCAAATGGGGAAGGATTGGAATGAGAACCAACTGGTATCAATCAGCCTTGAGGGGTTGCAAGGTTTCAAGCATACCGTGGCTTGCAAAATCCAGAGGAGAGCACAGGCTTGTGAAGCAGGTGTGTTCTGAAGGGAGTGCGTGCGCAGGGAAGGTGCAACAATACCAAGCAGAGCCAGGCTTTTCCATTGTATCCACAGAAGAGAATATTTGTAGCTCAGGGTTGAACTGTGGGGGTCCTTCGTGCTCTTGGAGCTTGGTTGCTTTTTTTGCAGACGTTTCATGACCCAGCTATGTAACATCATCAGTGCTGGAAGGGAGGAGGAGGAGGAGGAGGAGGAGGAGGAGGAGGAGGGATCCCTGGTGCTCTCTGAGCTTGGTTGTTTTCTTGCAGACATTTCATGGCCCAACTAGATAACATCATCAGTGCTGGAAGGGAGCAGGGTTTGGGAGGAGGAGGAGGAGGAAAAGGAGGAAGAGGAAGAGGAGGAAGAGGAAAAGAAGGAGGAGGAAAAGGAGGAGAAGGGAGCGGGGTTTGGGAGGAGGAGGAGGAGGAGGAAAAGGAGGAGGAAAAGGAGGAAGAGGAAGAGGAGGAGGAAGAGGAAAAGAAGGAGGAGGAGAAGGAGGGGAAGGGAGCGGGGTTTGGGAGGAGGAGGAGGAACAGGAAGAGGAAAAGGAAAAGGAGGAGGAGGAGGAGGGATCCTTGGTGCTCTCTGAGCTTGGTTGTTTTCTTGCAGACATTTCATGACCCAACTAGATAACATCATCAGTGCTGGAAGGGAGCGGGGTTTGGGAGGAGGAGGAGGAGAAGAGGAAGAGGAAGAGGAAGAGGAAAAGGAGGAGAAGAGAAAGGGGAAGAGGAAGAGGAAAAGGAGGAGGAGGAGGAGGGATCCCTGGTGCTCTCTGAGCTTGGTTGTTTTCTTGCAGACATTTCATGACCCAACTAGATAACATCATCAGTGCTGGAAGGGAGCGGGGTTTGGGAGGAGAAGGAGGAGAAGAGGAAGAGGAAGAGGAAGAGGAAAAGGAGGAGGAGGAGGAGGAGGGATCCCTGGTGCTCTCTGAGCTTGGTCGTTTTCTTGCATGACCCAACTAGGTAACACCATCAGCGCCAGAAGGGAGCAGGGTTTGGGAGGAGGAGGAGGAGGAGGAAGAGGAAGAGGAGGAGGAGGAGGAGGAGGAGGAGGAGGAGGAGGAGGAGGAGGAGGAGGAGGAGGAGGAGGAGGAGGAGGAGGAGGAGGAGGAAGGCTGTGGGGTCCTTGGTGCTCTCTGAACCTGACTGTTTTCTTGCTGACATTTCATTACCTAAGTACGTAACGTCATCATTGCTAGAACGGAGTGATCCTTATTCCCTTCTAACACTGATGTGGTTGCCTAGTTGGATCATGAAACGTCTTCAATGGTTTCAAACGACATAAATGGATCAGCCAGGTGGCGAGTGGCCAACCCCCCTAGGTTTCAGGGGCAGGAGCATTTACTGTTAATGAAACGGCTGACGAGTCGGGAGAGAACGACTGCTGGCATCTTCTCTTTACCGAGTCCGGTTTTATTATCCGCTCCAATTTTCCTTCTCTGTCCTTTCCAGGAAAAATTCAAAACCGAGGCAGGAGGACGGGAACAAGGGCTTAAGACCCAACAAAAGGCAGCATTGTTAGATCAAATGCTGCATTTTCATAATGACCTTGTTTGCTTTTCAGGCAGTTCCACGGACGCCATGGGGAGGGGGGGGGCATTTCCCGGGAAACGTGCTTATCATCAGAGCCCCTAAGGGGCAAATAATCTGCCTAGGAAGCTTTTAGTAGAAAGAACGAAAGGGTAATGAACGTTCATCCAGGCTTACCTCGTTCTCCAGCGTGTTTTGTTTCCGTGGACTCTGGGACGCCTTGAGCTTTGGAAAGAAGAAAAAAAGAAAAAAATCGCTGAACCGGAGGGTAAACTAAGGACAGGGTTAGAGGGTGAGGATGATGGTCATTGTAATACTAAGGGTGGAAATTTGAGAGGGTTTCTTTCCAGCAAAACAGAGTTTTTACCATTGTTTAGAATTTGTGGTTTGAATGAGGGGAGGGGTCGTTCCTACTCGTCCACCCATCCCCATTATCAGCTTCCATTACTAAGAAAAATAATGGTTGGATGATGGGAACTTCCCAAAGTTGCTTTTTTTTTTCCAAGAGGCAACTGGATTTTCTTTGTTTTTCCTTGAAGACGTTTCGCTTCTCATCCAAGGAGCTTCTCCAGTTCTCGCGGAAGGGTGGAGAGGACTTACATTCCTTGTGCTAGCACTCTTTCTGAGAGTCGCCGAGGCCACTTGGAGGGTTTATCTGGGCCCTTAGGGTCACCTGAGTAGTGCAGGTGGGTAGGGAGCCTTCTTGGGGCTGCTGAATAGGTCAACTTCCAATGGCCTCAATGACTCTCAGGAAGAGTGACAACGGCCAAAGGACTGCAAAGAAAATAAATCCTTCCATTCTCCACCATTCAGTCAGAACTGAAGAAGCAAAATGTCTTCAAGGAAGGACAAAGCCCAACTGCCTTTTGAAAAAGAACCTTTGTGACAACCATGACCTGGAACGAAAATCTCCATAGATATGGTGGCAGTGGTGGGTTCCTCCCGATTCGGTCCGGTTCGGGCGAGCCGGTAGCGGTGACGATATGACGTCACCAAACCAGTTGCCCCCCCCCACGTTATTCTTACCTTTTATTTGGTCCCACCCCCAATCTATTGCTGCCTCCTGAGTCCCAGCTGATGACTAGAGGGAAAAAAATTGTTTAAACTCTTGCCGGGGGGCTTCAAAGGGCCGCCCTACAGCTGATCAGTGCTAAAAGCAAACAAATGAGTCGGGTCGTAAGTGCAAGGACTGATCGTAAGTGCGAGGACCTTCCAGAAATGACTCTGACCAGCTAGCCATGCCCACCTAGTCACATGACCTCCAAGCCACACCCACAAAATAAGCCACGCCCACAGAACCGGTAGTTAAAAAAATTTAGAACCCACCCCTGTATGGTGGGACATCCTTTGTCCACAGACGTTCCTCAGCATTTCTAGGTAAGACGAAAAAGATTCCCCATCTGAAACCTGGACAAGCTTTTGACTGACCAGTATTGACCATAATGGACCATAATATTCTAACCCAGGGGGTCTCCAAACTTGGCAGCTTTAAGACTTGTGGACTTCAACTCCCAGAATTCCTCAGAGTTGGAAATTCCGAGAGTTGAAGTCCACGAGTTGTCAAGTTTGGAGATCCTTGTTCTAACTCAAGGTAAGATGGTTTCCTAGGTCTCAACTGGAACCCAGATTCTTCAGTTCCACCATCTTCTGTTTTATGCTCCAAGAGCTTCTAAAGCCACTTCTGGAAGGGAATCAGTTCGTTCTCACAGGGAGGGACTACTCAGGGTACCATCAGTCAAATTATGCCGACTGGCGACTCCCAGGGGGAGGGCCTTCTCTGTGGGGGCTCCAACCCTTTGGAATGAACTGCCCCCGGAGATACGGAATATCCCTGATCTCCGTGCTTTCCGCCGTGCCCTCAAAATCCTGATGTTCCAACAAGCGGGGCTAAACATATGAACATGTGAATGTTTTTAAAATGTTATTTAATTTTAGGTTCTATTTAATTGGGCCAAACTATGTTATAATAATAATTTTAATTAGCACTTTTATGATATTTGTGTTATCTATATTTTTCTTGACTGTACAACGCCTTGAGTCCTACAGGAGAAAGGCGGTATAGAAATATAATAAATAAATAAATAAATAAATAAATAAATAAATCAATCAATCAATCAATCAATCAATCAATCAATCAATCAATCAATCAATCAGATGGTGTGGGATACAGAATATCCCAAGGGACAGGATAACAAATGGTGAATTCATTTACGGCAGAATGCTAGACTTGAAATGAAGGGGAAGCACCTGTTAGGACAATTATCTTAAGCACTCACGCCCAACTGCGTTTCCAAAAAACACATTTCTAGTTGGCGAGTAGGTGAGCCTGGTGTTGAAAAGTTGAGGAATTGCGACATAGTTTATACTGAGGGGCCCTTGGTGCTCTCTGAGCTTGGTGGTTTTCTGGTTTCACTACCAGCCTAGGTAACATCATCAGTGCTAGGAGGGAAACTAACTACGGGCCGAGAGTCTTTCTTTTCCAACTGACCAAGTTGGGACGGCGGACAGGTGGCTTCAAGGAGGTCCTTACTTTGACAAAATCAAGAACGGCCTCCTTCTGGATCTGCTTCGTCTTCCTCTTCTCCTCCTCACAGTGCAGGGCCGCCAGCTGCGCTTCCCTCCGCGTCCACTCCATGAAGGGCTCTCGCCTTTTGGGTGCGTCAGCTTCTGCGGGAAGATTCTGGGGGAGATACAGAGGGACAATGAACTGAAAGAGACACCGCAAGCGGCGTCCTTCGGAAGTTGGCCACCCGTTCAATGTGAAAGGAATCAGTCAAACACCACTTACCTGATTGTGAGCATTGGACAATGACCCATGGGTAGCAGAGTCTCGGCAACCCCTGGAGAAAGAGAGGAATTTATGGGAGGCAGGAGAAATGTAGGGTGTTCTTCTTCAAAGTGTGCGATATTAGTTTTGTGAAGGTATTTTTTAATTTTTAAAAATTAAAAAATTTAATTTTTATTTTTTAATTTGATCTTCCGGGACATCTTCCTGTCGGTAAAGTTTTTGAAAAAATGCTTTAACTATATTTTTCTTATCTAGATGTGTATGATATAAAGTTCCTGATTTGTCCTGGAGTTGGTGAATAATTCTTTTTTCTGTTTGCTTTTTTAATTTGTAAGCTAACCAGCGTCCAGTTTTATTTGCATGTTCAAAATTGGTCTGCTTTGCCATTCTTATTTTCTGTGCCAATTCAGTTTTTGTAGTTAAGTTCAATTTGTGTTTAGCCAGATTAAGTTTTTGTTGCGCTATCTTGTTGTTAGGGTGCTGTTGTAATTTAGTTTCCTCTATCTTAATTTCTTCCATTAGATCATTCCTAATTCTTTGTTTCTCTTTTTTTCTTTTCGCCACATATGCGATAGTTAGGCCTCTAATATAAGCTTTCGTCGTATCCCATGAATTTTGTAACGACGTTTGATCCTTTGTGTTGATTTCGAAAAATATCTTAATTTCTTTTTCTATCATTTGTAAGTACTCTTTTTCCTTTATTATACTTGTATCCATTTTCCATCCATACTATACTCGCAGGGATTTCAGCTTGCGCGCTCCACTGGGCGTAGTGGTGTGAAAGTGCTGGTCTAGAAACCAGGAGATGGAGAGTTCTAGTCCCGCCTTATGCATGGAAGCTGGCAGAATGACTCTCGGCCAACCAGCAGGGGATATTGAGCTCTAATCCTGCCTTAGGCATGAAAGCCAGTTGGGGGATTTGGGGCCAATCACCAGGAGATGGGGAGTTCTAGTCCCGCCTTAGGCATGAAAGGTGACTGGGTGGGCCAATCAGCAGGGGATGATGAGTTCTAGTCCCGCCTTAGCCATAAAAACCAGCTAGGTAACTTTGGGACAATCCCTCTCTCTCTCTCAGCGCAACCCACCTCACAGTTGTTGGAGAAATAGGAAGAGGAAGGAATATTCCGTTTGCCGCCTTGTTTATAAAATAATAAAAGGCAGGATAAAGAAAATCCAACAAATGAATGAAAAATAATTCACCGCATGCTACACACAGCCGTTCAGAAATTTTTATGAATACGGTTAGCATCCAAAAATTGCTTTATTTAGGATGCCTGTCATTTACCCACTATTTATTTTATTTATTTATATGTTTGTCATGTTTGTGTAGCGTATATTGGAGGTGGCGACCCTTTGAGAGCGGAATGCAACGAAATTTCATTTCCACGTATGCCGATTGGTGTACATTCAAAGTGACAACGAAGTTATTCTAAAATAGCTAAGCTCTGGGAAGGTGATAAAGTTACTGAAAGTATTTGTTTTTTTTAAAAAAAGAAAACTTTCTCTAACATGGGTGATTTGTACTTTATTTAGCAAAGGATATTTTCCCTCTTCAGATCCTTACCTTTCTGACCGATCTACAAGGCTCCTTAATCCTTGCGGTCGTTCCCTATCTTGCATTAAACTCAGACTTTCAGGTCGTTTTAATTCCTCTGCATCTCTGCAAACACATAAATACAGCGAAGAGGAGACGATGGGAACATAGGAGTAGATAAAATAAGTCCATAAGAAAAGTGACACGATTCACTTTTGTGGTAAGCATTGGGAAGAGAGCAGAAAAGGAGTGAGGGATAGTGAAGCCAAAGAAATTAAAGGTTTGAGAGACGACCAAAAGGAAATAGAGCTTTATCATTCCTTTCTATTCTGCTTTGGTCATATTTAGAATAGAATAACAGAGTCGGAAGGGACCTTGGAGGTCTTCTAGTCCAACCCCTTGCTCATCCAGGAAACCTTATATTGTTCCAGACAAATGGCTGTCTAGTCTCTTCTTAAAAAACTCCAGTGTTGGAGCATTCACAACTTCTGGTGGCAAGTAGTTCCACTGATTAATTGTTCTCACTGTCAGGAAATTTCTCCTTAATTCCAGGTTGCTTCTCTCCTTGATGAGTTTCCACCCATTGCTTCTTCTCTTGCCTTCAGGTGCTTTGGAGAATATCCTGACTCCCTCTTCTTTGTGGCAACCCCTGAGATAGTGGAAGACTCCTATCATGTCTCTCCGAGTCCTTCTCTTCATTAAACTAGACATACCCAGTTCCTGCAACCGTTCTTCATATGTTTTAGCCTCCAGTCCCCTAAATCCTCTTTGTTGCTCTTCTCTGCACTCTTTTCTAGAGTCTCCACATCTTGTTTACATCATGGCAACCAAAAAATAGCTTACAGGTATTCCTCACCATACAACTATAATGGAGCCTGCCCCAGCGACATGTGACCAAGCCGATTTTATGACCTTTTTGGCGGCACTCTGTAAGGCACGGGTGTCAAATTCATGGCGTCACCTTGACGTCACGTGACATTTTGTGACTTTTCCCCCCCTTTGTGGAGCTACAGTGGGCGTGGCCCGCGCATGGCCCACAGGCCGTCAGTTTGACACTCTTGCCTTAAGCCAACAAGGCTGCGTTAAAGTAAACCCCACAGGACATTAAGTGAGTGCCGCCGTGGTTGAACAAACCCAACAGTTCACTATGGGCATGGTTTTGCCGAAAAATCAAGTATGTGCCAGTTTTCAGAAAACCATCATAAATACATGGAAGACTATCTAGTCCATGGAAGACTGCTATCTAGTCCTTCTTTTCACCAGACTAGACATACCCAACGCCTGGCACTGTTCCTATGTTTTAGCCTTCTGTTTATGTTTCTTTATCCCCATTGACTCTGCTCGCAAAATAGCCTTTATTTTTTTAAAAAAAAAAAAAAACCTTACAAACATCACATCACTGTCCTTGTAAAATACAACTGTTTAGCTTTGGATAATTTACACTGCAGGCCTTACATTCCCAGGACTACTTAAACAAATGTTGTATTCGGTCTCGCTGTTTTCTCCTTTGTGTAAGGGAGAAATTTATTTATTTATTTATTTATTTTATTAAAATTTTATACCGCCCTTCTCCTGCTGGACTCGCGGCGGTGAACAGCCGAGAATAAAAAACATCCAATACAAAATTTAAAATTATTAAAAGAATTAAACAAATTTTAGCCCAGATTTAAAACCTCCCAACTAAAATCCATTACAATTAAAATATCTAAAGGGGGGGGGGGGTTTATGCCAGCCCAGCTTGGTGAAATAGAAAAGTTTTGAAGGCACGGCGAAAAGCACGGAGATCTGGTATCCTACGTATCTTTGTCAGAAGGGCGCTAAAAGAGGTTCGTGTGACCCTGGGGACACAGGCAACCGTCATAAATGTGAGTCGGTTGCCAAGCATCTGAATTTTGATCACGTGACCACGGGGACGCTGCAACGGTCGTTAAGTGTGAAAAACAGCCATGTCACTTTTTTTTTCAGTGCCGTTGTAACTTTGAACGGTCACTAAACGAATGCTTGTATGAAGGATGAAGGAAGTTTTGGTTGACCTGGTCTATTTTCATACTGATCGTTAATAACAAGCCATCTTCGCATCCCACCCACGTTCGCTTGTTCTAAATTAAGCCTCTCAGATCCTGGGTCAGGACTGTCACCATTGTTACCATTTTTGGTTAGGTAATTAAAAACTTTTCAACCGTGGCTTAAATTCCTCGTGAGCCTTTCTTTCAACCATCTCTGTTACATCTGGGTCAGGTGCGGAGGACGGAATCCTCCCATCTTAAAGCAAAGCCTTCCGTTATAATCCGAAGGGTTATATTGTATTAAATCACCCCTTCTTGTTCCAGCAAACGGAAGAATCCCTTCTCAAAGCCCACTGAACAAGGCCAGCTCTCCATCCCCCACCCCCCACTCTAATGCTGTTGGATATGCTGGCGGTCACCATGGAAAGCTCCTTGCACAGTAAAAAGCTGGGAGCAATATTGCCATATATGGAGAATGAGAAGGCAATCCCTGGATGAGGATGGATGAGGAACTCTTTTTTGTTTCTGCCTCAAGAATAGACAGTTCCTCTAAGGTGGTCAGGTGGTGGCAGTCACAGCTGTTGCAGAGAAAACGCTGCCCGTCTTTCGAACGGGCCGAAGCAAACAGTCATCGGCCTGGTCTGATGCATGGAGGGTGCACACATATCCTCTCTTTCTCCTTTTAGCAACAGCAAGAGCACTTAAGGCTTACATACTGCTCCACAGTGCTTCACAGCAAGGGCCCCCAATCTTGGCAACTTTTAAGACTTGTGGACTTCAACTCCCAGAATTCGCCAGCCAGCAGAGCTGAAGTCTCAAAGTTGCGAAGGTTGGAAGTCTTTGCTATGAAGCACTCTCTGAGTGATTTACAGAGTCAGCCTCTTGCCCACAACAATCTGGGTCCTCCTCGTTTTAAGGACCTGGGAAGGATGGAAGGCTGAGTCAAACCTTGAGCCGGTCACGATCAAACTGCTGGCTGTGGGCTGGCAGTGTCAGCCTGCAATGCCGTATTCTAACTGCTGTGCCACCTCAAGAGGAAGGGAAGGGAAGGGAAGGGAAGGAAGGGAAGGGAAGGGAAGGGAAGGGAAGGAAGGAAGGAAGGGAGGGAGGGAGGGAGGAAGGAAGGAAGGAATAATGGATGGTAGGTAGGTAGGTAGGTAGGTAGAGAGAGAGAGAAAAGGAAAAGGAAAGAGAAAAGGAAGGAAGGAAAGGAGGAGGGAGGGAGGGAGAGAAAAAAAGAAGGAAGGAAGGAATGGTAGATAGAGAGGGAGGGAGGGAGGAAGGGAGGAGAAGAGGGAGGGAAAAAGAAAGAAAGAGAAGGAAGGAAGGAAGGGAGGGAGGGAGGGAGGGAGGGAGGAGGAAGGAAGGAAGGAAGGAAGGAAGGAAGGAAGGAAGGAAGGTGGCAATGAAGTGTAACGTATCTCATTCCTTAAGACATATACCCTGTCTAAACAGTTTACAGAGTCAGCCTGTTGCCCCCACAATCTGGGTCCTCATTTTACCCACTTCAGAAGGATGGAAGGCTGAGTCAACCTTGAGGCGGTCAGAATCGAACTGCTGGCTGTGGGCAGAGTCAGCCTGCAATACTGCATTCTAACCACTGCGACGCCACTATTTCAGATGTAACAGGGTCATTTGGCACCCACCTTACATTAAAAGGCTTCTTTTCTCTGCATTTTAATCAGGCAAGGCTATGCTACTTTGGGGTAGGATCTGGATGAGAATAATCAATTAGGAGAAGGAGAAGAGAGAGAGGAGTCGTCACTGGACAGAAGGCTGATGATGGCCTGCGGGGCTGAGAGGAAACGCTCACACAATTGTCAATTGTTGAAGATTTAACTGCCCAAGGGAGTGTTTCTCAACTTTGCTCACTTGGAAGATATGTGGACTTCAATTTCCAGAATTCCTCAAGCTGGGGAATTCTGGGAGTTGAAGTCTACACATCTTTAAGGGAGACAAACAGCGCATTTATCAGTTGATAAGAGCAACGTGCCTCTATTCCTGGACAAAAAAGCCATCACTTCAACCGTGGTGACACCCTTCTATCATTATTCCACTGTGCTGGTTTCTGGACTCTGCAGAGGGCTGCCTTTATCCCTGCTCAGATAAGCAGAGCTGGTGGAGAAGGGCACGATAAGGTTGCTGTGTGTCCACAGCTGTTGGATCCTGTGGTTGTTGCAAGAAGTGCTTATTTGTATCTCTGCACTGCACTAGAGTTGACTTTTTTTTTTTTAACGCTGCTTGCTGCCAGGGGAATGTGCTGCATGGCCCACAGAATGTAAAGAGTCTAAATAAAAGAGCCTAATTTCACACGTGTCTGTATTTCTAACTGGAGCTACCAGCAAAAGAGGCTAGGTGAGAACTGCAAAGCACCAGGCGATGGGAACTTCACAAGGAGTTTTATGATCCATTGTAAATTCTACTGTATGAGGCCTGCATTCTGTCACCTGAGTTAACACCGATTTGGGGATTTATTTATTTATTTGCTGCTTTTATTATTTTGAGAAGGAATTCAAGGCGGAGAACACACACAATATTCCTTCCTCCTCCTATTTTAGCCCTAATTAAATATCTTAGATAGATTGGGCTGAGAGAAAGCAACTGGCCCAAAGTCACCCAGTCAGCTTTCATGCCTCAGGCGGGACTAGAACTCACCGCCGCCTGGTGATTTTATTTATTGGTTTGATTTATATGTCGCTCTTCTCCAGAGACTCAGGGCGATTGGCCCAAAGTCACCCGGTCAGATTTCATGCCTAAAACGGGACTAGAACTCACCATCGCCCGGTGATTGGCCCAAAGTCACCCAGTCAGCTTTCATACCAAAGGCGGGAGTAGAACTCACCATCTGCTAGTGATTGGCCCAGTCACCCAGCTGACTTTCATGCCAAAGGTGGGACTAGAACTCACGTCTCCTGGTGATTGGCCCAAAGTCATCCAGTCAGCTTTCATGTCTAAGGCGGGACTAGAGCTCACTGTCTCATAATGTTGGCCCAAAGTCACTCAGCAGGCTTTCATGCCTAAGGCGGGACTAGAACTCACGGTCTCCTGGTTTCTAAGCCAGCATCTTAACCACTACACCAAAGTGGCTCTCTTATACCTTAAAAAATGCGAGTTGGGATTTCTGTGTTATATATGAAGTTTAAGCTCTCCCACACAGGTTCTTAAACTATTATGAAATAAAAATTCTCACCTGTTTTGATGGAGGTATTTTCTTGCATCTTCCGACCTAGGAAACTCTCGGTTGTTTGTAGGTTTTACGGGTGAACCCTTCATAAAACGAGGAGAAAAAATAGAATACTACAATCAACATTTAAGAACACTTGCAAAGCCCCCCCAGTCCCCGCTCCCAAAAAAACTTTGATTCCCCTGAAATCTTCCATTTTCATCAGTCTCAGCTGACCATATTCAGCCTTTTAAAAATATTTGAAGCAAACAAAAATGATCAACAAGCAAAGAATGAATTCAGTTCGCTTCTTGTTATATAGTACAGTCTGTGTATATACTACAGCATATATGTACATACAAAGTAAAAGCACAGGAAGTCCTCAACTTATGACCACAAATTTCCATTAAGCAAGACAGTTGTTAAGTGAATCATGCCTGATTTTACAACTTTTGCCACAAAGAAATTGTTAACTGAATCACACAATCATTAAATGACTCCAAGTTGCTCACCCTCCCCATTGACTTGTTGGAAACAATTCAGGAAGGTCACAATTCTTGATCATGTGACCCAGGGAGAGTTGGAAGTGTGAGTACTGGTTGTAAGTCACTTTTTTCAATGCCGTTGGAACTTTGAATGGTCACTAAAGGAATGTTTGTAAGTCGAGGATTAGCTGTGTTAGTTTACAAATGGCCACTTGCCCTGGTTACAAACAACACTCATCAACTGCCTTAATGTGAGGACGTAAATGTACAGATGGATACAGTCAGGTCCAGAAATATTGGGACATCGACACAATTCTAGCATCTTTGGCTCTATACACCACCACAATGGAGTTGGAATGAAACAAACACAATGTGCGTTAACTGCAGACTGTCAGCTTTAATTTGAGGGTATGTACATCCAACTCAGGTGAACAGTGTAGGACTTACAGCAGTTTGTATATGTGCCTCCCACTTGTTAAGGGACCAAAAGTAATGGGACAATTGGCTTCTCAGCTGTTCCATGGCCAGGTGTGTGATATTCCCTCATTACCCCAATTACAATGTGCAGATAAAAGGCCCAGAGTTCATTTCAAGTGTGCTATTTGCATTTGGAATCTGTTGCTGTCAACTCTCAAGATGAGATCCAAAGAGCTGTCACTATCAGTGAAGCAAGCCATCATTAGGCTGAAGAAACAAAACAAACCCATCAGAGAGATAGCAAGAACATTAGGCATGGCCAAAACAACTGTTTGAAACATTCTCAAAAAGAAGGAATACACCGGTGAGCTCAGCAACACCAAAAGACCTGGGAGACCATGGAAAACAAGTGTGGTGGATGACCGAAGAATTCTTTCCCTGGTGAAGAAAACACCCTTCACAACAGTTGGCCAGATCAAGAACACTCTCCAGGAGGTAGGTGTATGTGTGTCAAAGTCAACAATCAGGAGAAGACTTCTCCAGAGTGAATACAGAGGGTTCACCACAAGATGTAAACCATTGGTGAGCCTCAAAAACAGGAAGGCCAGATTAGAGTTTGCCAAACAACATCTAACAAAGCCTTCACAGTTCTGGAACAAGATCCTATGGACAGATGAGACCAAGATCAACTTGTACCAGAGTGATGGGAAGAGAAGAGTATGGAGAAGGAAAGGAATTGCTCATGATCCTAAGCATACCACCTCATCAGTGAAGCATAGTGGTGGTAGTGTCATGGCGTGGGCATGTATGGCTGCCAATGGAACTGGCTCTCTTGTATTTATTGATGATGTGACTGCTGACAAAAACAGCAGGATGAATTCTGAAGTGTTTCGGGCAATATTATCTGCTCACATTCAGCCAAATGCTGCAGAACTCATTGGACGGAGCTTCATAGTGTAGATGGACAATGACCCAAAGCACACTGCAAAAGCAACCAAAGAGTTTTTGAAGGGACAGAAGTGGAATGTTATGCAATGGCCAAGTCAATCACCTGACCTGAATCCCATTGAGCATGCAATTCACTTGCTGAAGACAAAACTGAAGGGAAAATGCCCCAAGAACAAGCAGGAACTGAAGACAGTTGCAGTGGAGGCCTGGCAGAGCATCACCAGGGATGAAACCCAGTGTCTGGTGATGTCTATGCGTTCCAGACTTCAGGCTGTGATTGACTGCAAAGGATTTGCAACCAAGTATTAAGAAGGGAAAGTTTGATTTATGATTATTATTCTGTCCCATTACTTTTGGTCCCTTAACAAGTGGGAGGCACATATGCAAACTGCTGTAAGTCCTACACCGTTCACCTGAGTTGGATGTACATACCCTCAAATTAAAGCTGACAGTCTGCAATTAACGCACATTGTGTTTGTTTCATTCCAACTCCATTGTGGTGGTGTATAGAGCCAAAGATGTTAGAATTGTGTCGATGTCCCAATATTTCTGGACCTGACTGTATACTATGAATATTATTGAAGGCATTCTGGACCTAGAAACGCTTCCAACATTAATGGATCTCTATACGGGTAGTTCTCAACTTATAAGAGTTTGTTTACTGATCATTCAAAGTCACAACAGCACTGAAAAAAAGTGACGTATCTTTTTCACACTTATGACCACTGGTGCTCTCTGAGCTTGGTTGTTTCTTGCAGACGTTTCATGACCCCAGTAGGGAACGTCATCAGTGCTAGAAGGGAGTGGGGCCTGCGGAGAGGAGGAGGAGGAGGAGGTGTCAGGTCCACATTGTGTCCTGCTATTCTGGAGGAGGAGAGGAGTGGGAGGATAGCTTGCTGGCATTTTTTGCATGCTTTTGCTGTAACCACTTGGGAATTAGAGAGGAGGGAGGATTGTCTTCCGAGACGGAGCAGACTTCCTCCCAGTCGGTTCCAGCCTGGTTTCAAGGCCGTTGTGTCCTGAGAGTGAACCGTTATCCGCCTGGCACCTCAGGGTTCTCAAAACAACGTTGTGGCATCACATTGGCTGCCGGTGGACTGGTCGGAGGGTTAGGTTTGGGGAAACTGAAGAATTGTTTTGTACTTTGCTCGGGCTTTTTCAGATTTCACCCGACTTGAATAGAATAGAATAGAATAGAATAGAATAGAATAGAATAGAATAGAATAGAATAGAATAGAATTCTTTATTGGCCAAGCGTGATTGGACACACAAGGAATTTGTCTTGGTGCATACGCTCTCAGTGTACGTAAAAGAAAAGATAAGTTCATCAAGAATCATAAGGTACAACACTTAGTGATAGTCATAGGGTAAAAACTTTACTGCAACCACGCAGTAAAAGTTGTTTTGATTCAATTCAATGGAGTCAAGAGTCTTGCTTTCCTGAGGGGCTAGTTGGGACAGGTCCGAGGAGGAAGAGGAGGAGGAGGAGGAGGAGGACGACGACGACAATGAGTATGGGGTCCTTGGTGCTCTCTGAGCTTGGTGATTTTCAGACGTTTCATGACCCAACTAGGTAACATCAGCAGTAAAAAGCTCAGAGGGCACCAAGAATTTCATACAGTTCTTCAAAAAAAAAAATGGCAACAGCATTCTTCCATTTTCCTCTCAGAGAAAGGAGTCCATTATTTCTCAGTCATGGCAAACAACGACTGACATTAAAATACAAGTTTGTGTAGTGGACCTGCTAGCTGGACAAAGTTTAGCCCTGCTCTGTGGTAGGCACTCAAATCTCGCTTGGCATCTTCAATTCATGGGCGGAATTAAAATAAGCTATGTAAGATGATCCTAAAATGGATTTGTTTATACCCTACTAGAAAAAGTTTTTCCTTCTGCTGCAGCTGCTCCTACAAGCTAGGATTTCTCTCAGCAACGGAGCTGGATTTGCAAACGGCTGGCTCAGGCAGTCCTCGACTTACGACCACAATTGAGCCCAAAATTTGCTAGATGATACAATTGTTACCTGAGTTTTGCCCCATTTTACGAACTTTCCTGCCACAGTCGTTAAGTGAATTGGTGCAGTTGCTAATTTAGTGACACGATTGTTAAGGGAAACCGGCTTCCCAAACTGATTTGGTTTGTCAGAAGGGGGAATCACGTGACCCCGGGACACTGCAAACGTCATAAATATGAGTCAGTTGCCAAGCACCTGAATTTTGATCACGTGACCGCGGAGATACTGCAATGGTTGTAAGTGTGAAAAATTGTAAGATCTTCAGTGCCACTGTAACTTCAAACGGTCACTAAACAGACGGTTGCAAGTCACGGACCACCTATAGACTGAATTCCATGGCTGGCCAACTCATTAACAATTATCCCATTCACTATTTAACGAAGAACTAGTGTTCTTTTGCTAACTACCTTTGATTTTTTTTTCCAAAAAGGAAATTTATATTTTTAATAGTAGTTTGCTCTAGAACTGAATGGGTTTCCTTGAGAACATCCAGTTCTAGAGAGAGTGAGTGTGTGTGTGTGTGTGTGTGTGAGTGAGAGAGAGAGTCTTCCTTTGGGTTCATTAACTGGTTTACAGAGATAATACAGGTAGTCCTCGACTTACAACAGTTCATTTAGTGACCGTTCGAAGTTACGACGGCACTGAAAAAAAGGGACTTTTGACCGTTTTTCACAGTGATGACCGTTGTAGCAAAATGAGGACGGTTGGCAACTGACTCATATTTATGACGGTCACAGAGTTCTGGGATCGTGTGATCCCCTTTTGCAACTTTCTGACAAGCAAAGTCAATGGAGAAGCCGGATTCACTTAACAACCATGTTACTACTAACTTTACAACTGCAATGATTCACTTAACAACTGTGGCAAGAAAAGTCGTAAAATGGGTCACAAAATTCACTTAACAACATAAATGTTGGGTTCAATTGCAATCATACGTCGAGGACTACTTGTAGAGGGTCAGGAGGATTCTGAGCTACTGCAATTTCAAGAATGGAAATTTACTCGAAATATAGAGTCTTTTTAGCCTATTTCCGCACAAGCAGTACAGCTAGTTCTCAACTTACAACAGTTCAGTTAGTGACAACAGCACTGAAAAAATGTCTCACGACCATTGTTCACACTTATGAAAAACGCCGTTGCAGCGTCCCCATGGTCATGCGGTTTTCATTTGGATGCCTGACAACCGACTCACATTTATGACGGTCGCAGTGTCTCGGGTGATCCCCTTTTGCGACCTTCTGAC